TTAGGGTTAGGGTTAGGATTATAGTTAGGTTAGGATTGGCATAGAGTTAGGCCTAGGGATATGGCTATGGTTAGGGCTAGTTCTAGGGTTCTTAGGTTTAAAGTTAGGGTTAGTAGTAGGGTTCTGGTTATATTTAGGACTAGGGCAAGGAGTACAGATAGGCCTAGGGTTAGGGTTAGCACTAGGGCTAGTGTTAGGGTTAGGATAAGGGCTATGGTTAGGGAAAGGCCTAAATTTAGGGCTTGGGCTAGGTTTAGAGATATAATTAGGTCTATGGATAGTTTTAGGTTTAGGGCTAAGGTTAGGGCTATGGCTTGGCCTAGGGTTAGAGATAGTTTTAGGGCTAGGTCTAGGTCTAGGGGTAAGACTAGGGTTAGGTCTAGGATTAGGTCTAAGGTTAGAACTAGGTATAAGGCTGGGTTTAGGGCTAGGATACAGTTATGGTTATGGTTAGGACTGGGACCATGTTTAGAGCTCTGAGTAGGATTAGTGAAATGGTTAGGGCTATAAGCCTATGACTAGGTTTAGTGCTAGGGTTAGTGTAAGGGTTAGGGTTAGGGTTTGGGTTAATTTTAGGTTTAGATATCAGGGAGGTATAGGATTGCTATTAGTGTTAGGGTTAGTTATAAGTTTAGAGATGGGTTTATGTCTAGGCATTGGTTTATGTTAGTGTTAGGTGAAAGGTTAGTTATTAGAGTTAGAGTTAGGCCTAGTGATAGTTTTAGGGTTATGACTAGGGTTAGGGTTAGGATAAAGCTTGGATGATGGTTAGGATTAAGGTTAGGATTAGGGCTAGGTTAGATATAGGGTTAGGTTTATGGTTAGAATTAGGGTTAAGGTAGAGTAAGGGCAGCAGCTAGGTGTCGGGTTAGCATTAAAGGCTAGGGTTAGGGTTAGATTTCTTGGGAGGTTTAGGGGGTCAGGACTATGGCTACTGCTAGGGCTAGGGCTAGGTATTGGGATAGGGCTAGGATAGATTTAGGTTTAGGGTCAGAGTTAAAATGCTGCTTACAGATAAGACTAGGGCTAGGAATATGGCTAGTGCTAGAATTCAGCCTAGGACAAGGGCTAGGGCTAGAATTTGAACTAGGTCAAGGTTTAGACCTCGTTCTATGGAAATGGTTAGGTCTAGGCTTAGGACTGGGGTTAGGGTTACACCTAGGGCTAGGGGTAGGGTTAGGTCTAGGTTCAGCCTAATGTTAGGATTAGGATTAGGATTAGGTTTACAGTTAGATTTTAGGGCTAGGGCAATGACTAAGGCAAGGGCTGGGTTTAGGATTAGGGCTACAGTTACTGCTAGGGTTAGGGCTATAGCTAGGGTTAGGAGTAGTCCTGGGTTTAGTAGGGTCAGGGCTAAGTTTAGGGCTAGGGCTAAAATTAGGCCTAGGGATAGGGATAGGGATAGGGATACAGATGCAAAGAGATGGGTAGGGATAGGGATAGGGATAGGGATACGGACACAGATACGGATAGGGATAGGGATAGGGATACGGACACAGATACGGATAGGGATAGGGATAGGGATACGGACACAGATACGGATAGGGATAGGGATAGGGATACGGACACAGATACGGATAGGGATAGGGATAGGGATACGGACACAGATACGGATAGGGATAGGGATAGGGATACGGACACAGATACGGATAGGGATAGGGATAGGGATACGGACACAGATACGGATAGGGATAGGGATAGGGATACGGATAGGGATAGCTATAGGGATAGGGCCTGGGCTAGGACTTGGGTTATGACGAGGTTTATTCTTAGGGGAGGATATGGACCTTGAAAAACCTGTTTGTTATTTTTAAAATCAATTGAATAATGAGTTTAGCAATCATTTGTAGGAGAAACCTATTATCAAACAATAGGAACCATGTTGCAGAACTGGAATTGATACAAGAATTGAGATGATACCAGAGTTTGGATCTCCAGAACCCAGTAAGTGCCAGGTGCTAAGGCAGCATCAGATGCTTAAAGGATTCTTAAAGCAAGCTGACTAACAAGACTAGTCAAATCAGTGAACTCTGAGTTTGATTGAGAGACCCTGCCTCAATGAATAGGTGGAAGAGCAATCGTGAATGATTCCTGACATCAACCTTGGGCCTCTACATATACGCATACATGTGTACACTGACCCACAAACACACATGCCCACACACATGCAAACATGCATACACACACAAGCCTATAACATATATGAAATCGAAAAATATATAAATGAAATAATAGACATGAGATCCTGTCTGGCCAAGCAGGGAGCTGAGAATGAGATTAGACAGTAATGTGGGATTGTGTCTAAACTGGACAGTTTGGTGCAGGTTGTAACCCCAGGGTAAATGCACAGGAAGGCCCAGGCTGTCTTGACTCTGTGTACATGGCTGGCCCCATGTCCCTGGCAGAGACTGCCTGGGTTGGGGGGGACATGTAGTTCCTCGGGGAAGGGCTTGGTTAGCAATACACACCTCTGCAGATGTACAGGTGTGTGAATGTGTGCATGATTGTGGGCTTGTGCATACTCACAAGTCATGGAGAGGTTAGTGCATACTGTATATGGCCTCTACCAAAGGCATGAGGCCTGATCTAGCCCTCATGCACAATTCCTTGGTAAACCCAGTGTCTTTGAAGTGAGTGGGGGTAGTTTTGTTTTCTTGGAAACATTTAAAAGTCTGAAGAATACCCCCATCAAAATTAGGCTGTCTGGGCTGGGGATGTAGTTCGGTTCAGTTCATAGAGTACTTGCCTAGCACACACAAAGCCCTAGGTTCTAAACCCTGGGTTTGAAGCTTTAGGTTTGATCCCTAATAGTGCAAAAACCAGGTATGATAGTGCATGCCTGTAGTCTCAGCACTAGGGAGGTAGGAAAAGGAAGATTAGGAGTTCAAGGTCATCAGCTACATATTGAGTTTGAGGCCAACTTGGGCTAGAGACCCTGTCTCAAAATAAAATGGAGAATTAGACTTTCCAGTTTTGCTGAGAATTGTAGGACTGGGCCTCAGTGAATCTGAACATGCACATGTTCCCAGCCAACCCCTCAGGCCAGGTGGCAGTGAATTCCTCAGTAAGCCCCCAAGCTCCCTGCCACTTCCTTCACATCTGAGGGTCTGTGCACATCACAGAGCTGAGCCATACTGCAGGCACAATGTGCATGTGGTGACCCTGGATGCAAGGGTGTGCATATGCCCTGAGTATTGAGGTGCCTTGTCACTGGGTATGATGGAGAGAACTGCCATGTCACCTGCATGGTGCATTTCTTCTCTGAATTTCTTCCTTTCCTTTCTCAGGGTCTCCCCGGCCTTAAGGGAGAGCAAGGAGACATGGTGGTGATCAACTATGATGGCAGGATCTTGGATGTCCTGAAGGAAGGAGTGTTCCTGGTAGGCCCTGGATGTGCCCTTGATGTCCATTCCTCAGGGAGTAATGGCTCGCTTTGTATATTATCCAAGGGGCTAAAGACAGCTTAGCACAGTAACCTCAATTTCATTAAGTGCCTGAAATCAGTCCTGTTTGGAGACTACTGTGGCTGACCCATGGAGCTCTGAGCTCCCCTGAGGCCAAGGCAAAAAGGAAAGCTCTCTCCTCAGGAGTGGAGGGCAGAACATTTTCTTATGACCAAACCCAGCCCTCCTGGGGCTTCCCAGGTACTGTTAGCTATAGAGTGAGGGCTTTTAATAACTACTCTGAGGGGACAAGGAGGGACAGACCTGACCTAATAACCTTGGGATACATGTGGTCTCTGAGCTATTCCCAAGTGACTGGAATACTTGGGCACATGATCAGATCAGAGAGAGCTGAGTGCCAGCTGCTTTTGGGTGCAGGGAGAAATGTGGGATGAGGTGAGGTATTCATTAGAGACCAGATTGGGCCCTGGTGCCTGACCTTGCCTTAATTCCAATTCCAGTTACCTCCCACAGGCCTCAGGGAAGTTCAAGCTGATGGTAGCTGTGGCTCACACGTGGCTGCATGATGTGGTGTGGTATGGTATGGTATGGTATGGTATGGTATGGTATGGTATGGTATGGTATGGTATGGTATGGTATGGTATGGTATGGTATGGTATGGTATGGTATGGTATGGTATGGTATGGTATGGTATGGTATGGTATGGTATGGTATGGTATGGTATGGTATGGTGTGTTCTGTGGTGTGGTATGGTGTGGTATGTGGTACAGTGTGGTGTACTGTAGTGTGGTATGGTGTGGTGCATTGTGCTGTGGTATGGTATGGTGTGGTATGGTATGATATCATGTGATATGGTATGGTGTGGTATGCTATGCTGTGCTGTGGTATGGCGTGGTGTGTAGTATGGCATGGCATGGTGTGTGTTGTGATATATGTGACATGGTGTGGTTTGTATGGCATAGCATGTATAGTGTGGTGTGTGTGGCATGGAGTGGTGTGAGTGGTGTGTAGTATGGCACAGCATGGTGTGTGTGGTATATGTGACATGGTGTGGTGTGTAGTGGCATGGCATGTATAGTGTAGTGTGTGTGTGGCATGGCGTGGTATGGGCCTGGGGGCATATGCATGCATGGTGTGTCCCACACTGCCTGGAAGACATATGGGAGAAGCCCTGTGAACACAGGAAGTTGGGAGATGGATTTGAATGCCAGAGTGGGATGAGGACTCAATTCTGAGGATGGGAACCATAGCTCGTTTTTGAGCAAGAGAATGTGCTAAGAAGTTGTATAGGAAGTGTGTGAGCATGGATGTGGGAGAGCTTGATACAGGGAGCTCATCAGAGAGACTGGGCTGGTCCTAGAAACGCTGAGAAGGGTAGAGAAGATGTAAGCCCAGAGACCTCTCAGTGGAGACATCAGCAATCAGGGAAGCAGTTGGGAAGAGGAGTGCTTGTGAGGGGCCAGAGCAGCTGGGCAGGGATGGCAGAGATGACAGGACCAAGCCATTGTTCATGTTGTAAATTGGAGCTGTCTTGAATACCAGAAAAGGCCTTCTTAAGCTCGCTTTCAGGGACAAGGAGAAGCCATTGCTGAATCCTAAACAGGAGAATGTTTTAAAGAAATTCATACTGGAGAACTGGCAGAGAACTTCTGAGCCCTCTGGAATGGACACTGGTATCTTACCCAATGCCCAGTGCTCTCTTGCAGGCCTTTTCCAAGACCCAGGGCCCAGACCAAGCTGCATGTGGTGTGGCCTGATGTGACGGTGTGGGAAATGAGCTTCAGAGGCCTTGGTCTCAGATGGAAAGGCTGGGTATGCAGGGAGGGGCAAGTCTTGTCTAACCACAACTGGCTTGATTTTTGCGCACGGTCCTCCCAGGCCACAGGGAGCCCCAGGACCACCAGAGATCCCTGGAGCCAAGGTCAGTATAGATGCAGCCATGGAACCCCCAAGCTCTCATCTCTAGATTCTACCCCATTTCCCTTCTGGCATCCTACCATGTATTCTGGGGCTCAGAGAAAGGGGCCCTGCTCCTTCCTAACCAACCCATGTTCCTTCAGACCCTAGCTAACTGCCCTTGTAGGACTTAGGGGAAGCCTAAAATTGAAAGATGGGCCGTCAGAAATGCAGTGGCCTGCTGATCTGCACAGCTGTTCTGTGCCTTGTACATGTTCATCCACCCACCCCTTGTCTCAGAATACAGAGCCTGAGATGCTCAAGTGAGGCAGGACCTGGTCCTGACCCTGGCAACCCTAGGCTCTGGGGCCCAGAACAAGGCATTGAACCCTCCAAGCCTCAGCTCCCAAATATGTAGGACCCCAACCAGAGGTGACAACCATCAACTCCATCTGCCCCTTGGGCTGAGTACATGAATGGAGGGAGACCATGGGCACCTTCCTCAAAGTCCATCTGCGAAGACCCAACCGCAGGGACTATGAGCTGATCAGGGAGGCAGCAATCCCCACTGGGGGCTAAAGGAGGTGCAACTGCTTTTACCATCTGTTCCCTTCCAGGGTGAACTTGGACTTCCCAGTGCCGCAGGAATCGATGGAGAAAAGGTCTCTCAGCCTTTCATTTCTGTGCCAATATTATATGGATATTTGTGTGTGTGTGTGTGTGTGTGTGTGTGTGTGTGTGTGTGTGTGTGTGTATGCAGCTTGGGCTGGATATGTACAGAATTAGAGACCACTGGGGGTTGTAGATGGGCTAAGATCGGGTAGGTAAGCATGACATCTGAAGCCAGGCTGTCGGTGAGCTGACCCTGTCAGCCCTTTAGGCCTTGGGTAGTACTCACTTCCTGATATCCTCAGGTTCCTGGAACACAGGTGAGGATGGTCCAAGGCTGTTCTGATGGCTCCAAGCCATAGAACGCAGTGCCTGGTGTATGAAAGCCAAGAATCCACAAATATTAGCTATTAGCTTGATGTCATGGTTTTGTGTGTGTGTGTGTGTGTGTGTGTGTGTGTGTGTGTGTGTGTGTCTGTGTGTGTCTGTGTGTGTATGTGCCTTCCTACATGAGTGAGCATCTTCTGGGGTGTCCCTCAATACCTGTAGATGTGTCTTTTCTTCTGGGTCCCTAGTATGAGGAACATCTTGCACATGGCATAATTATTTGACTGAAGGAATGCTGTCACTCAAAGCTTCTGACATGTGAGCACAGTTGGCCTCATGAGGGCTGGAGATGCAGCTCACTGGTAGAATGCTCACCTATCATGCATGAGGCCATGGCTTTAATCTCTAGCACCATACACAAAAAAATTAAAAAGAGTTAGCCTCATGAGTGCCCCAGAAGAGACACCCCAATCCTGCATACTTCCCGTATACCCCCACCCCACCCTAAGCAGCACATACCTCAAGCATGCAAGGAAGCAGAGGTCGAGTGTCCCCTTCTTCTCCCCGAGGGAGGGGAGAGAGCAGGTAGGAGGAGGAAGAAGAAAGGGAAAAGAGGAAGGAAGGGAGGGACAGAGAAGAAGGAAGGAAATGGAAGGAGGGAGGGAGAGGAGGGGATGGAGGAATGGAGGGACGGAGGGACAGCGGGAGGAAGTATGGTCAGGCCTGTTAAGGTCAGAGACCCACCAGGGTGAGGGGGGAGGAGAACGTCCACAAATCTCCACTCATTCCTTATTCTGGTGACTTTCAGTGTCTCAAAGGACCAAAAGGAGACCCAGGAGAGCCTGGGCCAGTTAGGCCCAAAGGGGAAGTAGGCGAGATGGGCCTATCAGGCCTCTTGGTAGGTGGCTGGGCTGGGTTCTACCCTAGGAACTTACTGCTCATGGGGAATGGAGGTACTTGTGTGAATGTGTGCCCACCACTGGACAGCCACTGGGCACTCTGGAGTCAGAGATGCAGGCTGGAGAGGATGGAACACACTCCTCTGTTGGCCCTGCATGTCAACCCAGTTCAGCTTGGGGCCAGTCAGCTCACACTAAGACTGCCCTACAAGCCTCCACTTCTTTAGCTGTAAAAAAAACCTTCACCCAAAAAAATCCTTCATCCACCTTACAAGGCCCCCTGCAGGCCGTTGCCCCACCCCACAAGGCCCCTTGCAGGCCCTCGCCCCACCCCATAAGGTCCCCTGCAGATAAAGTAGGAAGGCCCAGGCCTGTTGAAGCCTTTTGGCTTGGTGGCTAGACTCCACCAGGGCAAGCTGCCCCAGGTCCCAGCCCTGGAGACTTGCATAGCAAGCAGATCTCCCCAGGTCTCAATTTCCTTGCTGTTCACATGGGAGTGGTCATTTCCCACTCCCATGAGAGCTTTTGGATGGGGTTGAGAGTGACAACTGAACACCGCTGTCACAGCGATTGTGCACCCCTGAGGATGATCAGCCAGAGGTGCCACTGGGATTTGAACCCAGGTCTTTGTTCCACAGCCCCTGGTCGCCCCTGCACCACAAGACAATTTGTATATGCTATGGAAATGCCCACTCTCCTCCCTGTCTAGGGTGTTTGATTTGGGAAAAACTTTTTTAAGTTTCAGGGGCCAACTCATCCCTGGGGTGGTTAGGGGCTGAGCACCCTAGGAAGTGACCTTAGGATGGCCAAAAAGCGCTCACAGGCCACCCTGTCTTGCAGGGTGCTGATGGTCCCAAGGGAGGGAAGGGAGAGTCAGCATCTGATCACCTACAGGAAAGCCTGGTAAGGGAGTACTGAAGCTTGGGGCTCCCCTACACCCAGCGCAAACTCAGTGTGGGGCCCTGAGCCT